GGGAAAGAGCAAGGAAAACCTTTCTCGGGTATGTTTTTAGCCTCCCATAGGTGGTGGTAGCATTTCCAATGCAGCTGTGCCAGCATACGGAGAAGGCAGCTCGCATCCTTTTGTGGAGTCATCCAGATGCTCTACAGGAGATAGGGCAGGAAACTGATGAGGATTCCTTTAAATGTCAGAGCTGAGTTAAAGCATTTGCCCTGCGTGATGGTTTTGGGTTGGAAACAGTGGATGTAGGTGGGATTTTGGGGCAAAAGCATCATTGGAGATGGAGGAGCCGCCTTAGGGTAGATGGGGAAGGGAAACATGGGCGAGCCGCTGGCCTGGCCTATCTTCATTGCACAGGAGATTTTACAACTTTATGGAAACCATGCAAAGTTTTCAGCACTGCAAAGGCAGACTGTGCTGTGCCCCTTTTCCACTGTGCTGCTGTGGCAGGGGTGCTTGTGGGTGGATGCTCAGGGATTCAGAGGGAGCCTGGAGATCTCCAGTCTGCCTTGGCCCTTGCTAGGTATTTCCACGCTCCATTTCTGGAAGCATTTCAGGTGTTTTGAGGCAGCTCAGCACTGCCAGCAGAGTGATTTCTCAGCCTGGCATTTGGGTTTAACTCTTTTTTCGAAGGGTACCAGGGCATGAGCAATGGTAAAAGAAGATGAAAATGTGAAAGAAATAGTTAAAAGCTGGGTAAGAGAGAGGGACTTGTTTCCTCAGAAGCTGTTAACTCTCCCTCAGCTGCTCCCAGTCCCTACTGCCCAGGGACCATGTCCCACAGGAGCTTCATGGAGTGGACTTTGACAGGGCAAGATCAGTGAGAGAGCCCGGAGCCGTACAAAGAAGTGTTGTTATGCAGTGGAAATGGGGAGCAGGGGATGAGTGGGACCTTCCCAAACTGGTGAAGTGATTCAGGATGTGCACTTCCCTGTCTGTACAATGCTGGAGCTGGGGGATGAAAGGATGGCTGGAAGGGAAGAGGAGCCAGTAGGAAGGGAACTGCCTGGCCCCAGGTGAGGGGAATCTGGAAGGGCTCAGGTTGAGCCAATTAGGGAGATGCTGGGGCTCAAAGGGCAGGGCCAGGGCCAGAGTGAGCAGAACAGCACCTGGGCAGGAGCTGGAGGATGTGGTCCTTGTTCAGGGCCTGCAAATGCCCGAGTTGCTGACAGTGCTGGGGGTGGAGCTGTGCAGCCTTTGTGGGAAGTGGAGTGGCACAGCTGGGAGCTGTTGATGCCCATCACCTGCGTGATTAAAGTAGGGGAATCTCTGGTTTTAGGTACCTTTTGATTGCAGCAACCTGCTGGAGACCTGCTCTGCTACAAGATCCTGCAATGGAAGGAGAGAGCTGGATGTCAAAGAGTCTGCAGGACAGAGGGGACAGCTGCGTGCAAAAGATGGGAATTATGAGTTGCTTTGTTGTTTTTTTTTTTAAATGAGGGAAAAAACCCAAACAACCAAACAACAAACCAACCTGGGTGTATGGATAAATGATTTTTAGTATGAATGACATGGACGCACAGCAAAGAGGAACGTGGAAACAAAAGTTCTAGGTACCATCAGTCTCCATCCTCTCCTTGCCCACAGAGCAGGTCATGGGCCAGTGGAGGAGAAATCCCAAGGTCCTGTAGCTGTGTTCACTACAGGTGAGAGTGGGGTTTGCTGTGTCTTTCATCCCTGTCCCCTCCTCTGTAGTGCTGAGCTCTCTGCCACTGACAATATGGCTCGCAGTGCTGGCCATTGCCACAGCAGATGCTGGAGCAGCCCAGGGTCAGGGCTGGAGTGGGACCAGCACAACCTTTCCCAGGGGACTCACCACGGGGTGGCCGTGGTTCCCTCCCAGCCA